TTTTATTTTATTTTACTTTATTTTTTGGTCTTTTTGAGACAGGGTCTCCCTGTAGCCCCAGCTGGCCTGGAACTCACTATGTAGACCAGGCTGGCCTTGAACTCACAGAGATCCACCTGTCTCTGCCTCCCGAGGGCTGGGATTAATGGCATACACCCCCATACTCAGTGAATTATATGCTTTAAATCAGTAAACTGTATAGGGTTTGAGTAAGGTTGCAATATTTTTACTTTATGTGTATTTTATTTTGTCTGCATGTATGTAAGTGTACCCATATGTATAATGGCCACAAAGGCCAGAAGAGGATCTTGGATCCCCTGAAACTGGAGTTACAGACAACTATTAGGCTCCATGTAGGTGCTGGGAATCAAACTGGGGTCCTCTACAAGAAAAGCCAGTGCTCTTAACTGTGAAGCCATCTCTTTAGCCCTGCAATAAAGCTTTTTTCTTAAGCTACAACTTTATTGATTCAACAGAAGAAACTACATCCATGTTCTCAGACACTGAACATAAGCAACACATTCAATGATGAATGCTTAACTAAATTAAATCACTGAGCATACCTAAACTGGCCTCTTTTTGTTGCTGATAATTCTTTTTGTGTTTCTGCTAGGAATGGAATCCAGCGCTTTATGCACACCAGGCCAGTGCTCTACCACTGAGCTGTTCCTTCGACTTTTCATTTGATGTTACAGAAATAAATACAAGGGCTGGGCTACAGCTCAGTGATAGAACACTTGCCTAACATGTGCAAGGAACCGAGTTTGATCCCATTACTGGAAAAGTAGGGGGGCAATCATAATAATTTATTTTAGAGTAGAATACACTTTATCTGGCTGTCAAACACTTATTCACAAAGAGTATAAAAATTAAGTTTAGCTGTTCCTCATCTACGGCAATCCATTGTCAGTATTCCTTTGGATAGAATTGGGGTCTGCTGTTCATGTTTCCAGTAGTATGTTGGGTTACTGTCTGGAAGAGCCTTTATCTATCCTGGCCAAGAACTCGACTGAAGGTATCGCCTGTCTGGCTTTGCTGTTTGTCAAGTAACTTTTAGTTATATATATGTGTGCTC